ACCTCGTCGGCCCCCGCGCTCGCCGACGCCCATGCCGGGCTCCCCATGACGCGAGATCGCCCGGCGGACAGCGTGGCATGAGCCAGAAGCCCGGGCCGCGGTAAGGTGCGCGCGCGGCCGGTCGCGGGGCGTGGAAGGGGTCAGGCCACGCTACCACGACGGCCACAATGAGGAGGGGACGGGGTGGGGGCTTGAACCGCGTCGTCGCCTCCGGGCAGGGCTTATGTCACGGCAGCCCCTTCCCCACCTTTCCATGCGGCCTCGCGGCCTCTGGTCCTCCAGGCCTTCCTGCAGCCCCTCTCGTCCCAGCCCCGTGGCTGGCCTGGCTCCCCACCAGCCACCCAGCCAGGGCTTAGGGTCGGTGCCGCCTGAGCCGCTGAAAGGAAGCACGCTGTCCTTTGGAGGCGGAATTGCAGGCCCCCAGTCCCCACCACGCCTGGCAAGGTGAGGGCCCCAACTCCCTGCTGGGCTCAGGGCTCCCCCACCCATCTCTGAGAACCCCTGCACCTGTGTGACAGGTGTGAGACACAGCTCAACTCCAGGAGCCACGTGGGTGCATGGCCTGGGGGCTTGTTCTCCCCTGGACAACTTGTGAACTCCCAGCCTGGATAGAGTCACCGCCTGCAGGAGGAGGAGGGGAGGGGAGGAGACTGGCATCTTTCTGGTTCTGGAGGCCAACCAAGCTTCAGCCAAGGCTGGAGGGCCTCTGAAGGGAACTGGGCACCAGAGACTTTCTGGGGAGGGGTTCTTGCCCTCCAGGAGTTTGGGTGGGTGGAGAGAGTGCCCAGAAGGAGAGAAAGCCTGCTGTGGCCACCTGGGGAGTCCACAACCCAGCGGCCACTCCTGGTCCCTCCCAGCCTCTGCCTGGCAGCCTGACCTCCCCAGGAAGAGCAGATGGCAGAAGTGCTTCACCAGCCCACCACCACAGGCCCCTCCCCGACACCCACCTCGTCCTGGGGCCCCACTGTCCAGGGTCAGCTCAGGCCTCTCTGGCACCCAGCAGGACACAGAGGTTCCTCTCCCAGTCCACCCCTTGGACGGGGTGCTGGACAAACAACCTTGGAGCAGAAGGACTGAGGGGCTGGGTCACAGGGGCCTGGGGCTGCCCAGGCCAGGGCAGAGACCCATGGAACCTGGCTGGCCTGGCCAAAGGTGGACACAGAGTTGGGCCTGGAACCATCCCGAGGGGAGGGACACTCAAGACCCAGCTTGAGTTAAACACGGTCTGTGCAGGGGAGCCCCCAGGCCACCTTCGCCCTGCTGTTGGCCTCACCCCAACCATCCCTCACCTTGGGCCAGACCTGGTTGCTCAGTACCTCCAGTGCTGGGACCTCCATTGGGCAGACTTGGCCCCAGCTAATACCCACTTCCGGGGCAGCTGAGTGAGTCCTGCCTCCCACCCATGAGAAAAACAAGTGGCCCCATGGGTGGGAGGGACCTGAGCCCCTGAGCCAGCTGGACGTGGGCCCAGGAAACCCTGAGTTGCCAAGAGGCAGGGATGTCCCACCCAGGCGGAGGCACAGCCCGGCCATTGCAGACCCAGCCCTCGCATGTGGGTGCTCACAGCTGTGCCTCTGAGTATTGGCCGGGGGCGTGGGGGCGGGGGTGAAGCGAACCCTTGGGTGAGTAGGTGGTCCGAGCCCTCCCACCCATGGTTCTACAGTAGCCAATGGCCAGACCAGCTGTGGAGGGTAGGTGCAGGCCCATCTCCTCATGCAGGGAAGGCAGGGAAGGTTCTGAGGCAGCAGCAACAGCAGCTGCACCAGGGTCCCAGGCCCAGCTGGGGAGCTCCTACTCTTCAGAGGACCCCTGGCATTCTCTCCCCAGGGAATCTAGCCCCACACAGCCCGGCTGCCCCAAGCCTGGCCACAGGGCCTCCATACTGCAGCAACAATGCCGATGTCTCTCAAGGCCACGTGCTCCCTGGGCCGAGGGTCTCCCTGCCCCAGAGCACCCCGAGCCGGGGGTGGGAGAGGAGTGCTGCTGCTGTGCCACGTGCCAAGTGGCAGGGACGTGGCTGTGCCTGAGTCATGGTACTGCCATGGAGAGTGTCAGCCTGTATCATGTCCCCAGTCCCCAGCTACCCCGGCTGTCACCCCAGCCCCTCGGGCTGCTGCTGCAGACTGAGCCTGAGTGAATTTCCCTGGCTCCTGGTGCTCTGCCCAGCTCCAGTGCCTTACACAGGTCAGTGAGGTTATTGAGGGCCAGGCCCCTGGGAGTCCAGGTGGGCTGTGTCCTGGCTTGATGCTCCCAGAGATGGGGGTGCTGGAGGTGGGGGAAGAGTCCATCAGCTAGGGGCAGTGAGGGGGCAGAGGATTTCCCAGGCACCCTTCCAAAAGAAGGAGTCCTGGGGTAGGCATGCAGCGTGGGCCTCTCAGAGAGCAGGGCTGGGGCAGGGACCCTACTGGGTGAGGGCAGTCTGGGAGAAACTGGACACACACCTAGGCAGTGCCGGCAGGTATGGAACTTACACAGCTTGGAGATGCCAGGGTCAGCCGCAGCTTTGTGCAGTTCTGAAAAGCCACTATGAGCTTTGCTTCCCTGCTCATGGTCAGGCAGTGTGCAAGGGCTCAGGCCAGTGATGGTGGGTGTGCTGCCGGGAAGAGGAGAGCAGGAGCACCCCTTCCCACTCCCCCGGTGGCCCATCCCCTTCTTCCAGCTCAGGCCGGATTCTGGAGGTCGAGCGTGGCTTCCTTAGCCCTGTGCCTCCTGAAGGGGGACCCCGCCAGAAAGGAGATGTGGGCCAGCCCCTCCAAAGGGCCTGCGTATTCCAAGGCTGCCCCAGCTCCAGGGCCTCCGGAACCCTCGCAGTGACACAGGTACCAGCCCCGTGGCCCCCTTCCCCCGTGGACACTGGCCGTGGCATCATTGGGATTCACTTCTCGAGCACTGCCCTCCCCACCAGCCGGTCTCCTCTTGAATCTGACCTGTTCTTCTCAGCCTCCTGGGCCTCTGGCAACCGCACCCCCCTCTGTTTGCCTTAGTGAACGCGTCTGTGTTCCTCACTAGTTCACATGTTCACTCATTCATTCAGCGAGAACTCAGGCTGCACACAGGTTGCTGCCTGTCCACGGGGGCAGACAAGTGGACAGTGGTGACAACCTGTGTGATGAGTGAGACCCTGGTGAGGCTTTCTCAAGGGTCGGGGGTCCCAGAGTGGAGACAGGGGCCAAGTTCATGCCAAACACCAAGGGGTGGAAGAGAAGGCTCGTGGGGTTAAGGGGGACCCCTGCCCAGCACACAGGGAGGACAATGAAGGCCCAGGCAGAGGGCTAGGGGGAAGGAGTGATCACAGGGTTGGGCTGGACCAGGGCCAGCATGGGGAGGGGCGGAGCCAAGGCTGTGAGGAGGTTTGCCGGGTGTCTGGCCCAGTGATTGACTCACAGAGGAGGCAGCTCTTGGGGCCCAACAAAACCATTCAGGGGCTGCCAAGGGCTGGGTCCTCCCTGGAGCACCCAGGGCCCACTACACCTCTATGCCCCTTAGTTCACTCTGGTTGCTCAGCATCATGAGGAGCCTCCTGGGGTGAATGTAGAGGCCACGCCACCTCTCCCCAGTGGCTTCCTGCCCAACTCCAGCTCAGGCTGCTGAGGTCGTGGCATGCCTTCCTCCCTCCCCCAAAACTCTGCTGCAAGTCTGGGCATCCTTCAAAATGCCTTTTGCCTGCGTTGGCTTCAGCCACACTTATCCCTAAAGGGAGAGGCTGCCCCTATCCCCTGCAGGCAGGAGACTCCAAGGGGTCCTCCAAGCTCCACAGGCAGAATGAGGGCATCACAAGTACCAAGTAGGATGCCGGCCTCCAGGCACACTGGTGACTGGCTGGGGCCAGAGCTAGACAGAAGGACCCTTGTCTGAGCCCCTCAGGACCTTTTGCCTGACTGGCAGGAAGACCCCAGTCTCCTACTGTGAGCTCATCTTTCCTGCCTGGGCCAAGGTGTGGCTGCTTCCCTGTTTGAGCTACAGAGTGGGGGATACTGGGGCTGGATCACTCAGGACAGTGGACGCAGGTTGGGAGCAGTGGGGACACGGTTCTCACCGAGTGCCCAGGTGAGGGTTGGCCCACAGGCAAGACAGAGGCCTCTGGCTGCCGTCGGGGATGTGGATCGAGGGGAAGCCAGGCCTTGGACACACGCCAGAGCTGCGGGTTCCTCCTAGCCCATCCCTCCCTCCTGTGCGTTCTCAAAGGCCGGCGGCGTTCACCAGCTCTACCCTGCGGCCTGGAGGTGGGGATGGGACCGTGTGCGGCCAACGTGAGCTCCAGGACGAGAGGGAAGGGAGCCCGCGGTGCCCGGGGCAGCCACGTGCCTCCCCCAACCCAGGCGCTCCACGTGCCCACCCATGGCTGAGAGCGTTTCAGACTAAATCGGAACCGCTCTGGGATTATTTCTCTCTTGGCGCCGCCCCCGCCACCTCCCCCGGATCCCAGCCGACCGGGCGGCTTCCCCCTCCCCCCTCCGGGCCCCTCCCTGCCTAGCTGGGTTTGCCAGGCCTGGGGTTTGCCGGGTTCGTTCCCCCATCCAGCCCCAGCCGGCGCTGTCCGCGGTGGAGGCGGCCGACCTGAGTGCGCGCACGCGGCGGATGGGCGCTGTCCGTGGTGCTGCCCAGCCGCGTGTGCGGGCAGCTTTGGAGACCGGGAGTCCCGGGCAGCAGGGGTCCTCGCTCGGGGGAGGGAGGGTTAGGGGAGGGAACACGGAAGGTATTCGGGCCGGGGTTGCCTCTCCCCTCACGCCAGGAGCCCGGGAACCTCATGCCAGCCCCTATTGCCTGTACCGGGAACCCAGACCCCTCAGGGAACTGAGGCTGCCCCGCGTCAGGCCTCCCCACCGCTGTGGGCAAATGCATCGGAGCCTCTGGTTCCTCACATGAAAATTGGGGTAAGGGTATAGTGGCCACCTCAGGGCTGCCAGGAGGTTGAAATCCATGACTATCAGGCAGACTCGCGGCAAGTGTTGCCATGACTGGTTGACCTGCCAGTGTGAGGCTGCCTCTTCCCGGTCACGAGCACACGTAGAGGGTCTACCAAGGTGCAGGAGCCCCTCAGGGAGGCCCCAAATGACACCCTTGGGGAGAGGGAGATAGCACCGAGGGCCAAGGGTGGGCCACCCGAGGCAGGGGGCTCATAGCCACCAGGGCAGGAAGGACTTTGGATGAGGGCCATGTGTTCCGATGAGACCCCTGGTCCCAGCTCAGGTGTGCACCCCCTCCCCAGATAGAGGACACTGTCAAGGCTTGGAGGCCCGGGAGCTGTGGAGCAGGGCAGGGCCTCCCACACCTCTCCCAGTGGCTCCTGCCCTCTTCCCCTCAGGTCTGACCAGGGTAGGGGATTGAGCTGCCAGTTTCCTCAGCCCTGGAGCTCCAGAAGGAGGAGTCAGCCAAAAAGGGGATGTGACCCATTCTCCTCCTGAGGGTCTGTATATTCCAAGGCCCGCCCCACACTTTGGAAGCCTTCCCAGACAACCCCTTGGTGGCTCGAGGAGAGGGGAGACCTCCTAGTGGGCTGTGGCCTGCCTAGGCCATAGGAGTGAGTGGCCTTGGCCCCACCCCTGAGGCATCAGAGCAGGAAGGCAGGACCTGGGGCTCCAGTCCTGATCTCCTGCAGACAGGGAAGACGAATCCTGCTTTGCCCTCAGGTCTGGCCATGGGGCTCAGAAGCCACCCCCATGCCACTTCCAAGCCCTCGCTATGAGCCAGCACTCTGCTCAGCCCCTTATCCTATTGTCCCGAGGCAGCAGGTGTTGTCACCTCCTGGGCTTCAAGGTGCGGAAACTGAGGCTCAGAGAGGGAAGTGGCCTGCCAAGACCATATAGCCAGGGCGGGACCCATCTCGCAGCCAGGGTGTGCGAGTCCAGGGTCTGCGTGGGCAAGATCCCAGGTGATGGACTTCTTCATGGGATGTGGGGGAACAAGTGGGCCAGAGGTTGAGGATGCCGAGCAGTTGGGGGTACCGTGAGGGTCCTGCTGCTCTATCACTCCATTGCTGTCTGCGCCCAGTGCCCTGTGCTACCTGCTCACAGACTCAGAGGCCTGAGGGCAGCTGGGGGCTGGTCTCAGCCCCACCTTGCAAGCCATGACCCTGGCCCGAGGACAGCTTTCTGCATGGCCTTCCAAAACCAGCTCTGGTCCAACTTCAGCTCTACCTTTTAACTGGTCATGATCCCAGGCCTCAGGTTCCCTCATCTGGACAGTGGGTACAGTCATCACAGCATTGTCCTCACTGGGCTGAGTAGAGACAGTAGGGGCTCATGGTGCTGGCACCACATAATCCCTGGGAAGGCACTTGTCTACCTTTTGGGAGACCTCAGAACCTGACATGTGAGTCTCTCTCAGGGCAGCAGCACCATCCACAGAGTTGTGCTGGCGCCCTGTAGGGTAGGGTCAGAGACTGCCCAGACCCCTTCCTTCAGTTCCCCAGCCCCTGCCGAGCAGAGGTGGGCCTGGTGGGCACGGATGGTGGGTGTCAGAGCAGCAGCGGTGGAGAGCAGTCCTGGGCCTTGTCTATTTCCACCCTGTTGTCTCATCTGTGAAATGGGAATCCTAGTGCCCTGGTGTCGAAAAATGTGAGCTCAGTGCATAGAGTAGGTGCTCAGTGAGTGCCGTGGCCATGCTCATTCTGCTTGCCGTCAGGGAGGGAGAGGCACACACAGTGGGGCTGGGGCCACTGGGG